TTCTGGAACGTGCTAACTCAGGAGAGACATAACTCCCGAGTTCCAACATCAAGTTCCAAGTGGAACGCTGCATTAGTCATAATTATCCTTGCATTATTCCTTACATGCTTATTAAATATTTACCAATGTTAATGAAAAACAATATACCGCAGATACCAGTGTACAGTGATATATACGGTTGTGGTCAGAAGTTTACATCCACTCGTCATAGGCATGAATATCATGGTAATTTGGGACTTTTAATGATTTCTCTGACCTGCCGTTTTTCCAGAGTGGATTGAGTGTACAGCATACATCTTTAATCACTTAAAAAAACAAGAATTGGGTGAAAAGTTTGAATTTATTTGGATTTTATACAGGGTCTGTTAGTCATGATTGATCATTGGTGATCATGACTAGGCCTTGGCTTTGTTAAGACTTTGTACAACCCTCAGCAACACATATTAAAAGATTTAAGTGAATACATGTATATATTTAAGTCTGTATGTATACTTTTGACCCTGTGTGGCTTAGAGGAAATCCAAAATGAAGTGTCTTGCATACTGGCACTGTATGATTTGGTTCTGTATGAGGACTAACATGCTGTTGTCGGCTCACTAGGTGGCTGTTCCAGACATCACAGAAGCTGTTAAAGGAGCAAAGATCCTCGTCTTTGTAATCCCGCACCAGTTCATCGGGAAACTCTGTGATCAGATGAAACCTCAGATCACAGAGGGAGCTATCGGGATATCACTCATCAAAGTAAGACCCTGTGACTGTTCATGTCACATTTTCTGCCAGCATAAAAGGGGAAACCGTATCCTAACCACAGCTTCTTATTTTTCTGCGGTCATGGCATCATGAATTTTGTTGTAGTTGAGCAATAGAGAGACAATCACATCCTGTATGTGTCACCATCATCTCAAGGCCAAAAGCCCATTCAGGGTAGAGGTTATGTTTTAAATTGTTGATTATTGTCATCCAGGGCATTGATGAGGGACCGGAAGGACTGACGCTAATCTCAGATATCATCCGAGAGAAACTACAGATTGACGTCAGCGTCCTGATGGGAGCCAACATCGCCAGCGAGGTGGCGGATGAGAAGTTCTGTGAAACCACCATCGGTTAGACACTTTGTACAGCACATGTGTAGATAAGTTGCAGAGGAGGTTTTGTGGTGGTCAGACAAGCTAGTGCACAGTTACTTCCTGTTTTAAGTGTTGCTGAAGCAATTTAGCACTCTATGTTTAATAAACTTCATTCACTACAGGAGCAAGAAATGAGGCAAACGGCCACATCTTCAAAGAACTGATGCAGACTCCCAACTTTCGCATCGCTGTCGTGCGGGAGAGTGACACAGTGGAGCTCTGTGGAGCCTTAAAGGTAAACGGATGTTTCCATAGTCAAATTCTCCTTGTATAATGGAAAACCTTAAAATGTTTGCACCCTTCCCCTCGTGCATTGCCAGAATATTGTGGCGGTCGGCGCTGGATTCTGTGATGGCCTCGACTGTGGCGACAACACCAAAGCGGCGGTAATCAGGCTGGGCCTGATGGAAATGGTTGCCTTTGCCAAAATTTTCTGTAAAGGCACAGTGAGCTCTATAACCTTCCTGGAAAGCTGCGGTGTGGCCGACCTTATCACCACTTGCTACGGAGGACGAAACCGGAAGGTCGCAGAGGCCTTCGTCAGAACG